TCACCATTTTCATCTGCTTATGAGAGGTAAAGGATAATTTATAATTACATAAATTCATATCTTAATTAAAACTGCTTTCAGAAAAATAAAGCTTTTAAAAATAACGAAGTATTTAGAAAGTTCCTACTTTCAGATGTCAAATATTCAGTGAATGTGTAGTAAAGTATTAATAGAAAAATGAAAAACATATATAGAAAGACTTTTCCTGCCAGAACTCAGGTGCATTTCTTCTCAAAGCAGAGGATCAGACTCATTGTGTTAGCTTGCTAGGTTACTGTTTTATGCCTGAACTCTATCCCAGGTTCTTGGTGGTCAGAGTCAGTGTCTCACCAGTTCATCCTGACCTTGAACTTACTGTGATACTCTCACTGATGATGTCCAAACGAGTTGCAGCAAGATCACTGGAACTGGAGGTTCTTACCACTTTACGCAGCATAGAATTTTTCACTATATTATAAAGGAAACTTAAGTCTTCTTCTTTGGTACTTAGGAGTTCAGTTCAGGGTTTCCCAGCCTCTGGCTCTAAGATTTGGTGTTTCTACTATGATGCTCATGACATGTGCAAGCTATCAAGTCTTGAACACTGTCCCTGCCCCCTCCATAATTTCGTTCAGATGCCCTTGGGTATTTTTCATGATTTAGTTATTGGTAGCCCTGGGGGGCCAATTAGACTTAAGTTTACTTTATTCCTCATTCAGATTAAAACAACAGAAGCATAGAAACAGAAATGCCAAGATCTTTTTTCTAGTGTGTCAGCCTGCCTGATAGACTAACCTCAGACTGATAGCCTCTTGACAACTTCTACTGCCTGTTTGTCATGTGAAAGTCTTTGCCTGGGACAACTCTATAACACCTTCCCTTCAATTCTACCAACATTTTGAAGACTCTTTAGCTATCTAAAATGCACATTGTCATTTATAACTGTATTTAATGAATAGGACAGAAACATTCAGTCACTTAATGTATCTTTCCAGTAAGACACTTTAAAAAGATTGTTAGTACAAGATATACAAGACAAAATTATAAATCAGTAGTGTGCATGTAAACTATTTCATGTAGACATCCTATCTTATTTAAAGGTCAATACTGATTGAGCATGTGTAAGGCACTGAACTATTTTCTCAAGTACGATGACTATTTTCTCATGGAACTAAAAGCAGCTCATTTAGTAAATGAGGAAAATTAAGCACTGAAGCTTAATATCTCACCTAGCCACTTACATTGCAGTGTTTATTCAGAGCCCTGCAGGAAGCACTCTTGCCTACTGCATGATTTCCACAGTCCCTATATTTTATATCTTAATTGATCTAACAGATAATATAGTGTTGAAAAATTATATAATAGCAATGAATTAAGTTATCATTATATGTACGTATAAACAAAAGAATTACAGTAGTAAAGAAGACTAGCCCATCTTTCTATATCTAGCACTATGCTATTTTTGTGATTATTAGTAGGTTCAACTCTACAGCTTATGATCTACTCAGCCATGGGTTTGTGACTCAGTTAGTGATACTGAGAATGACTTTTAGCTTGGAGAGAAGGGCATAGATATACCTATTGGTTACTTCCATAACATATATGTCACTAATCCAACATTAGACAAAAGTTTCTAGGAAAATCAAAGATGATAACTAAGCAAGACTGTTGATTTTTCTCCTATACTAGAATGAGTAGAACCATTAGATATTAAGAAAGCAAGTCAGTAGGCTTGACACTTCCAGGTTGGCTCCAACATAACTTCTCCATATGCTATGACTCAAGTATGTGGTATCTTCAGCAATAATGTCTTACAATCAAAATCTGGATGGTAATTCTTAGGGTTCCTACTGTTTAATAAAACACTAAAACCAACTTGAAATTTGGAAGGCGGATGTCTCCAATTCATTACCCCATATTTTGTTCAGAATTGTTTTCACTATTTTGGGTATTTGTATTACTGAAAAGTGAAGTGAGAGATAGTATTAAATCAGTAGACATTTTTGATAGGAAGGAAGCCAATTTCACAGTATTAACCCTACAAGAGTATGTGTGGTCTTCAACTTTTGATATCTTCTTTGATTTTTTTCTTTTGGTATCATAAAGTTGCATTGAAGAAATTTTTCATTTACTTTAATTTTCCCCAATATATTTTACTTTGGACAGTCTTGTGTAAGATATTTTTTCCATGATTTATTTTCTTTCTCGTCTCTCTCTCTCTCTCTCTCTCTCTCTCTCTCTCTCTCTCTCTCTCTCTCTC